TGTTTTTTTTCTTGAAAATAAGCATTTAAGTAGCTCCTCTGATCTAAACTGTTCCATAGTAACAACGTCTCCATGTCTCATCTGGAATCTTCTCACGGATATCTGTCCCATTTGTTCTCAGAGTTATACAAGTTCAATGACAGTAGATAAGCTATAGCTAAATCTCTCTGCAAATACCCCCACTCTCAGTGAAAAAGTAAGAAACTGGTACAATTTATTTAAATCTTTGACCCTTCTCTGATATACCCATCAGCCAATATCCAGGAAGCTTTTCTACAGGCTCATGACAGGATTACTTATCAAATAGGAGTGCTGACAGGTTCCACACAATGCCCCTTTGCTGCACATGTTTACTCTATCCTCTGCCTGGCAGCAGGCTATGATGCCATTGCACCGCTGTCCCATATATTTGAAAAAAAAAAAAAAAAAAAAAGAAGATAGTGGAGAGTGTCCTAGGCTGACTCTTCTCTGTGGTATTACTTGCAACGTGAAACAAAGAAAAATATTTTTGGATTTTCTATTGCATTACACTGTCCTTCTGCACAGCAATATATTTATGCCATGAAAAATCATTAGATTGGAATAGATTAAGAGTGCAAATAACATTAGGTCTTGACCATTTTGGGGCACAGCCCAAGCAGCTGTTCATACCTCTGTACTGTTGTTACCAGCTCTTTTTCTTTTTTCTTCTGACACACCAGCTGCAACTCTCTCTCTCTGCACTGCGATCGGGCCTCTCCAAGCTTCTTTTCCAACTCAGTCATAGTTTCTTGAAGCTCCTTGTTCTTCTCTTCTAGAATTTGCAGCTACCACAGGTTACATTAGTCAGACACGATGCCACATGAGCAGATGGGCTTGTGGCAGGCCACAGCCTTACAATTACCTTCCGTATAAACTTAGACCCATTTCACTTCTCTGAGTATGAGAATCGCTAATAGATACAGTGCTTTCTAAAACACTGAAATACTTCCCTTCCTAAACAGATGGGGAAAAAATATATGTTGAAACAGTAAAAGATTTGATAACAGATATTAGGGAGCTTACTTGCATTTTTAAAATGTCAAATAAACACCCTTTTCCTTACCTGTTTAGTCTGCCCTTCTATATCATCCAGCGTTGGTAGGTCTGCCAGATATTTTTCTAAGGTTTCAATTCTTCTTTGTTTTTCTTTGTTTTGCTCAGACTCTTTCTGGCATTTCTTCTTCAGGCTATTAATGTAACGGTCTCTAGTTTTAAGCTACAAGAAAGTAAGAGTACATGTTTTATGATTACAGTGAAAAATTAAACCTGCTTTAGAAGCAGAGGCTGGTCACTCTTGAAGAATTGTACTCTCAGCTGCATCAAAGAGTTGGTTACTGCAGAAAACGAAACCAAAGAATGATTAGTCCCAGCAGCTCCAAGTCACAAACTCGCAAGTGACCTCAAACCACAGTTGCTTCACCTCTGCTGAGAACATTCCATGTGCCTTGTGAACTGAAAATACGACAGTTCAACAGTTAAAATATTCTTGGTTTTTTTCACCAATAAGGATGTTCATACACAATGAACAATCAGGAAATATTTTTGTCTTTCTTCTTCCTGTGGCGTAGGAAAACAACTTAAAACACAGGGACCTAAGAACTTAACCCAACAAGAACTGGAGCCAAAAACCTGACTTTGATGCAATCTGACAACTACATCAGAGGACATCAGAACAAAATAGTGGCTTCTTTAAACATCTTTTCTACAGCTATCTTGTCCATCAGCCTGCAAATATTTTTTGTATATTGTGTTATATTTGCTTGCATTCCTGGTACTTACTTTGCTTTATTACTTAGGTGAAAAAAGTAGCAATCCATCTCACTGACACCCATCTCACTGAGAAATAATTGCGTGACACTGTCAATGTCAGAGCTCAGTAACAGAGCCTACTGAAAAGTTTAAGTCAATAATATCTGGAAAGTTTTTCCACAGATAGTTTCCTATAGGGGCCACAAAAGTGACAATTGCCAAAAGGCCAGAAATCTTTGTATTGTTTATTTTATCAAGACCTCAAAACTGAACAAAGCTTTCAGGATGCTTTAAAATCTTTCTGATCAGACAAAGCCCAAGTAAACCCCACAGTCAATAAGGCAAAGCTGCAACTCAGCCATGTTTTTTTGCTAAAATACGTACTTCAGAAGCACGTGCTCCCCCCACACCCCAAGCCTTAAGGCAGTGCTAAAAAACCACATGTGTAAGCCAGTGGTGCACAGAGAATTACCAAGAGACTGACTGTTAAGTAAGTGAACCCCTTCCCTCTGTTTCTCACATACCACTGAGGATGACAAGTTGATCAGTCAGAACACTCTGGTACTTGTGTGACAAAGATTACATGGTTTACAAATCTTCTTGTCCTGCATATATACCATCAGGAATTTCCTCCCCTGTAACCTCTCTCCTCCTAATAGCTACCATGTTTGCCTTGGGATTCCTCCTGCCCTCTCTAAATGCCCAGCATCACCCCAAAGATTCTTTCCACTTTCTGCCACCTGAGATGAAAAAAAAATGAGGTTTTTCTTTCATTCACTCTTGCTGACTCTACTGAGAGGAAAACAGGCTTTGATTTTTTTTTTTTTTTAATTTTCTCTTTCATACACACACTGCTGGTGAGGGCAAGGAAAAACAGAAAAGCTCTTGCCTCTTTGTCAATTAAATATTAAAAGCAAGGCCACAGAAATCGCAGCGGAGAACACTACTACAAGCTATCAGCAGCACCTTACAGGAGTCCTTCACAGTTACCCACAGCAGAGGGAGAAGGAGCAGCCAGCAGCATACGGATGTCTGAGACGAACCATTTCCAGCCCAGCAGTCCAATTTCCAGATGAAATGCCTCAGAACTAAAGTGAGGGCTGCAAAATTTGCAGATGCCAAGAGGCACACTGTCCTGGCTTCGGCTGAGACAGAGTTAATTTTCTTCACAGTAGCCAGTGTGAGGCTATGTTTTGGATTTGTACTGAGAAGGCAGCTGATAACGTGTTTATAGTTGCTGCCAGGACAGTCAAGGACTTCTCAGCTTCTCTGCTGTGCCAGTGTCTGCAGGTGCAGGAGAAGCTGGGAGGGAGCACAGACCACAATCACTAGCCTAGGATTCGACCTTAGGTTTAGGACTCAGACCCAAATTGGCCAGTGGTATATTCCACATCTTGCACGTCATGCCCAGTATATTATGAGGAACTATCCGGACGTTTGCTCTATCTACAGGTCCCCTTGCTTTCCCTCAGGGTCATCTCTTGCTCTCTCAGTTGGCTTTCAGACTCTCAGACTCATCTCTTCTCTGGGATTGTGGTTTTGGGACTCTATCTGCTCCAAGATCATTAGCTGGGAACAGGCTGAGTCTTGGTCATCAGGTGGCGAGCAGTTTCACTGTGTATCACTCTTTTGTATATTTGTATGTATTACTATTATCATTATTGTTTTCAGATTTATTGTGGTTTAGTTATTAAATTGTTAT